TTGAAACTCCAGGGCTCTTGTGAGGCATAGCTAATGGTGCCCACAGTCTGTACACTTCCCTCGAGCACCGGTAGCTCATTAAGTATAGACATAATTAGTGAACTCTATAAAAATAATTAATAAAACATTTTAAATTATTAAACTAAAGTGTGGTAAATAACACAAACATACCTTTCCCGCCCCTACCGGTCCAATCACCGCTAATAGATCTCCGGGTTTTAAATTAAATGAAATGTTTTGAATGGTTGCATACGGGGTGTCCTGGTCATAAATAATTAATATTAGCTAGGTTATAAATTAAAATGAATATAAATTAAAACTATATTTCATACTTCACTCCATTTGGCGGATATATTATTGACAAAAACTTTTGGTTTTGCATTTTTCTTGGGAAAGGCAGTTAAATCACCAAAACCTTTAGTGTTATATGTTTTAGGCTCCATTTCCCCCAGCTCTAAAAATGTCTAGAAAATATATTTAAAATTTAAATAAAATATTATAAGTACAGTATAACTGCAATATTATCTCGCAATTATATTATGTAATTAAATTTATAATCGTATAATACAATTAAATTAATGCTAATACTTATAGGCTATAAGTTATAGCGATTTAAAACAATATTAACTGGATAAAGTAAGTAGTACATATTCAATGATTATATAGGCTTGAAATTTTTATTTAAAAAACTAAATTTCAAAAATATCGTTTCATGGTATCTAATGGAAACACTGACCTGGATGCGAGAGCACGACACTTTGAGTTCAGCCCATTGGGCGATGGCGTTGGGGAACAGTAGTGTTAAAGTGATGCGAAGTGTGTTGAACAGCGCCATTGTGACGAACACGGCTTTGGCGGTCAGTAGGTTACCGGTCAACACATATGTGATGAATGCGGCGAACAGTATGACCCGCGAGGCCACGAAAAACAGCGACAAATTGATGGCTTTCAGTAGGCATGACCTCTGGATGCGACCCACCTCTGACCTGAGGTATGGTATAGGTTGTGATTAGTGGTTACATTAATATTATGTTTTCAGTTAAAACATTTGATATAAAGTGAGTAAACTTTATTTCTGTATACATTTTAATCATGCATCTATATTTAAAATTTTAAATTTTAATCTAGCTTTATTTTAATTAATTTTAAATTGTTCCAGACTATATGTTATACACTAGTTGATTATGGTGATAAACTGGAAATATATACTGTAATTTATTTGATTTGTAAATATTGTAGTGTTAAAACATAGCTTACTTTCTGGCATCGGCCACGAGGTCAGCAAACGGCTGCTCCCAGGCATACATTTTGATGACTCGCATCCCCGATATAATCTCATTCATGAGCCGCAGTCGACCGTCCGTTAACTTAGCTGTCATTTGTCTAAGAAATTAAATTCTTGATATAAATTGCATCATAACTAACATTACAGTAATGTAATCACAAAAACACACCTAAATCTGGAGAATAGCCTTCCCATGATTAACTGGAACGGTATGAATGGCACGAGTAGGGCTACCCCGACAAATGCTGACCAGCCCAGGTGTGTCCACATTATGTAGGCTATGATAACGGCCTGAATGGGTCCCAACACCAAGTAGTGGACGAATGTTGAGAACTGCAAATAAAACATCAAATTTTAATTTATACTGGTTATTTACTGGACCATTCACTAAGTAAGTACCGGTCGTAGGTATTGACCTTAACCTACACTAAACATAGTGTAATACAATACCTCATCAAACCTGTTGACATCATTGGACATAATGTTC